TGCTACTTTCGGTTTCTAGAATTGAGTCTGAGTGTCGCATTGCATTCAGAATTGTCGAAGTGCGAGTGTGTGTGATCATCTGAGGGCCCGCCTGCCAAAAGACGTCGTGCACCAAATGAGGAGCAGGAGTCAGAGTTGGAGGGGGGATCCGGGGGGGCAACCTCCAGCAATGATCCTCACGGTCACGTTCCGGCATTTGCCAAGCCACCGCTGCCACCTCCAGCATGGCCCCCAGTGGAGGGAAAGCCAACAGAGCACAAGCAGCAGCAAAAGAAATGCCAAGAAAGCCAGCGTCACAGGCAGTTCCTGTGAAAGCCATGCCTGCGAAGCCACCACATGTTCGGATGCAACCAAAGGCTAAGACAGTGGTGCAAAAGAAGCCTAAATTTCCCCGGAGCCTACATTTCCCCCCCGGAGCCTGCATTTCCCCCCCCGAAGCCTCCGATGCCGCCAAGTGGACCCCTGCTCGGTGGCTTTCAATCTGCGTTCACAGAGGCACTTCGGAAAATGGGGTTGGCCCCCAATGAAGAGTCAATTGAATTTGCAATTCAACAATTCTCGAATGCTGTCTGGGAGAAGCTGCAGCCGCGATCTGCATCGCTGGAATCCGAATCCTGTGCGGAGTTCGGTGCCGGAGTTGGAGCAGGAGGAGGTTCTGGTTGATGAGGAGGAGGCCGAGGAGGCGGAGCAGGACGACCGGCCCGATACCTGGCCCGACTATTACAACGACGAGGAGGGCGAGGAGGGCCACCAGGAAGTCATAGAGAATGATGCAGTGATGCTGCCGGCTTCAATTCAAATTCATCATTCAAGTAATAATATTCAGCGCTGAACCTTCTGATCTGACAATTTCTATTGAAACACTTGAGTCAGGCTGGAGATCATGAAGGACTACGAGATTCCTGAGGATGTCCAGCAATCCTTTTTCCAGCTGCGCAATGCCCCTCACTGTGGATGTCAACGCCAGATCAAGCTCATGTCGCTTGTTCATTCACTTGGCAATGGATTTTAAGATACATGACTCTTAGGACGAGTGAACCAATAAATCATAGTGCCAAGGATGCACTTGCTGATGCGCCATGGTCACACAATGCCAAGTACGGGCTGGCTGAGACGAAGTGTGGGCAACTTGTCGTATTTCGGTGAGTACAGTATGGTTGTAATTCATTCGATGCTGTGTGTGCTTGCTCAGATAACGAATGGCACAATGCAGCGAGCGCAGCGCGATTGGACGCCACCGTTTTAGATTCTTAGATTGACTTGCCTGCCCCGGCTGACTTGGCTGCCGGAAGTTGATCTGGCTGCCCCGGCTGACTTGACGTGCTGAAAGCTTCAATGAGATGTTGAGCTTCCCAGATGTTCATTTTGGCCTGTACACTAACNNTGTCAATGTCACGTCAATTCGAAATGCAATTCTCCCGCCAAGCCGGCCGACAAATGCACAGGCACACATATTATGCACGTGCACAGCTTCCCATGGCCCAGGTGCTGGAGTTCCTCGAGTCGCAGCAGGCAGGCACTTGACTTATGTCTCACTAGTGATTTATTTATTTATTTATGGTCGATGATGATTATGCTCTTTTTGCTAGTCGGTCTAGTCACGGAGCATGATCCTCGNNNTCCTCGTTTGCATTGACTGTTATCTCTGCACCAGCGGGAATCAATAATTTCAGAACTGAGTGAAGTTATTCTGATCGTATCTGAAGTCGTTCCAGTGCTAATTAATGATTAGTAATACTTAATTGTCAGAATTGTCTCAATTGTTGGTTTGGGTTTCACTTCAAGCTGATCTCATCAGCTGTGTCTCTGAGTGACGCGATGGAATGTCCCAAGTGTCAAAAATGGCTCGGTTCCATACATTGGAGGAAGTCACAGTGGCATCAGAAAAAGGCTGAAACCCCAATACGGCATTTTTTCAATTGTTGTCGNNTTGTCGTGACTGTGGCAATGTCATGGACAACCTTCACGCGCAGACAGAGGAAGTTCGGGAGGCTGCACAGTTTCTCTGCCAGATGATTGACCTGTTGAAAGCGGACTCAGGCAAGCTTCAATCAAAATTCAAAGAGGTGTTTGAGGGCATGACCTATTGCTCGGCAGAGACACGGAAGACACTTTCGCATTCAGGCTGCTTGTATTATTTGAGCCAACC